GTCCAGTATTACCCCGAGATTTCTGACCTTGTTTGAAGGTTTTAGGGAGAGAGACTGGAGGTGACAGATGACGCTCTCTCTTTGTTTCTGGGGAAAGACAATCATTTCAGTTTTGTCTGCGTTTAGCTGAAGGAAGTTGTTTTGCATCCACTCACTGATCTGTTGGATACAGTGAAGGAGTGAGTCCACTGGTCCATGTTCTCCTGCAGTCAGTGAGACATAGATCTGAGTGTCGTCTGCATAGTTATGATAGGAAACTTCGTTTCTGCGTATTAACTGACCTAACGGCAGCATGTAGAGATTGAACAGAAGAGGTCCCAGGATCGACCCCTGTGGGACTCCACAGGTCAGGGCCATATGATCTGAGACACAGTTTCCAATCTCCACAAAGTACTCCCTGTCTTCAAGGTAAGACCTAAACCAACTTAGGGCGGTGCCAGCGACTCCAATCCAGTCCTCTAGTCTCTGTAAGAGGATCTCATGGTCGACAGTGTCAAAGGCAGCACTTAGATCTAACAAGATTAAGATTGAGACTTTGCCTGCGTCAGTGTTCAGCCGGATATCGTTTGTAACCTTGACGAGAGCAGTCTCAGTGCTGTGGTGGGGTCTAAAGCCGGACTGAAACATATCAAATGAGTTGTTGATAAGAAATCTAGTAAGCTGTAGGTAGACAACTTGGACTTTCCCCATAAATGGCAGATTTGAGATGGGACGATAGTTGTTAAGTACCGTGGCATCCAGACTGCTCTATTTTAGCAGGGGCCTGATGACTGCAGTTTTCAGGGCCTTTGGGAATATTCCAGAATGAAGGGACATGTTAACTATCTGTGTGAGTGAAGCTAACAGACTGCTCAGAACAGACTTCAGAAATCTAGTGGGTAGTACATCCGGGCTGCATGTGGAGGAGCTCAAACTGGAGATTATCTCTTGGACAGTTTTATCATTTACAGGTGCAAAGTGAGTTAGCTCAAAGAGCCTTTCTGGCTGTTGGATGGTTATCTGTGGATTGGAGACAATGGCGTTTTTGATGCCTTGAACCTTGTCATTGAAAAAATTAGCAAACTCATTGCATTTACGTTTGGAAGTTAGCTCTAATGGCATTTGAACAGGGGGGTTTGTTAATCTATTAACTGTTGAGAACAGAACACGCAGATTGTTGCTGCAGCCTTCAATCATTTCAGAAAAATACCTTTCTCTCGTACTACGTAGCACCCGGTTAAACTCGCACAACTTATCTTTGAAGATCTCGTAATCAACCTGGAGGTTGAACTTGCGCCACTTCCGCTCGGCCCTCCGACACTTTCTCTTTTGTGCCCTGACCGAGTCTGCTTTAGCCCACGGCGCCTTCTGCTTATTTTTCACTATTTTAACCTTCACAGGAGCGATGGTGTCCAGAACATTCAAAACACTAGAGGTGACAGAGTTAAACAGTTCATCTACAGTAGAATACGATGCATTCTCAAAGTTTATCATTCCCATAAATAGATCACTCATATTTTCATTTATGCATTAGCAACTTTTTTTTATTTGATAAACATTTTGTTTTAATTGAAATAATTTAAAACTAAATGATTTTAACTCTGTCTAATTTACAGATATAAAATATAAATCCCTCAATTGTATAAAATAGAACTTCTTAGATAAATAGATTAAATTCATGACTACATATAATGTGATGTATAACATGCTTTCTGTCTTACAGGACGTGGCCACCAGATGGGGCGGTAAACAAAAGATGATAGAGTACTGGAGCAGCTGTCAGAAGAATCCTAGTGGAGGATAGAAAACATGGCCACCTCAACCCAACATGGCAAGATGTGTCTGTGCTGGAGTCAATAAATGCAGCCTTGAAGCCTGCTGCTGACTTTACTGACATACTTTCTGGTGAGAAGTATGTCACAGTGTCCTGAATAAAGCCAGTGCTGGAGCTCATCAAAGGTGAACTGTTAGCACCATGTCCAGAAGACACTGACCTCACCTCAAAGATCAAGACCAACACGAGCAGGGTGTTGATCGATAAATACAGCTCTCCTAATATACAAAGCCTTCTAAGGAAAGCAACCATTATGGATCCAAGTAGGGCTGTATGAAGGTTATTTTGTGTTTTTATTATCAACACTTTTTTTTGCTTTTGAATTCTATAAACTATAAACAAAAAAGTATTCAGTGTAAATAATTTCAATGTTTTAAAATTCAGTGTCCAAAAATGTGTTGCATTTTTTTTCGCTGCTTGAAATGTCATGCTTTATTTCCGGGTAAAGCAAGACAGAAGCAATCGATCAGCCAATCCTCCATAGATGTAGCCAGGGCCAGAACATGACTTTGTCTTTATCCGAATGTCCACACTATACAATATTCACTCACTCACTACATAGTGCGGGACTATTGTGAGTGAGTGAGTGGACTCATTCTGATGGTGATTCGGACGCTGCACACTATTATCAGGCCGTGCTGTTGTACGTGAGCGTCCCGCTGTAGCGTGGATCACGGAGCGGAGAGAGGAGCGGCCATGATGAGGTAAAGGTTGAATTTATGTTTTAATTAGGACATAACATTTAATTGTATTAACATTGGAGGTGGGAAATAGCCCCTTCTATTGTCATATCAGAGGTCTGTTGGTGATTAAACAGATTTTCTTTGGACTTTTTCTCCAGCCTTGAGCTCCAGTGCTAACACGCTAACCACGGGTGTAGAGCTGCGCTGATGCCCAGAATGGAGCGTCATGCGCTGGGAGTCATTTTGAGAGCTCCCTTATGCTAACAGTCTTAACTGTGGAAGTAATTATGAAAACCCAAAAAGGCGGCTTTTGTATCATACTTTCTCTGTTATAACAATTGTTTTAAGAGTAATCATTAGTCTTAAAAATGTGATATTTCATGTAAATAATGCATGTGTTTAGTGCGATTGATGGATTTGCTATGGCCCTCGTTTGTGCATCACTTTGTTGTAAAGTAATTTGTATTAAGTACAAACGTGATTATGTGCATTTACTGATGACAGGGGGACATCTGTGAACATGAAGCTGGACACAGAAGACCCGTGGACTTGAACTGACCAGATTTAAGGTCATGAGTACTTACTTTTTGAGCACAAGCTCCTCTTGAAATCCAACAGACCTGATCATGTCAGAGTTTATGGCTTAAATGTATTTAAGATTAGAAGTAGTACTTAAATAAAAGCTATGAAACATGTTTCTCACTGATTGTGTGGTTGGATAAAACAAACGCATACATCACTTTTAATTGCACACAAAGAACTAAATCATAATTATTTTATTTTATTCCAGGTTGTGATGAGTCCACCGTAGAAAAGACAGTCAGAGGCAGACGTCCAGGCACCTGCTGTTACTGCTGTTACTGCTGCTGTTACTGCTGCTGCTGCTGCTGCTGTTACTGCTGCTGCTGCATATGTCTTCAGAAAATGAGAGATGTGTTCTAACTATCCATGACTTGTAATTAATAAAACAAATGAACATATTGGTGGTTGTAGTTTATATCGTAATCCACAGAAGCTGGAGGTGATGGAAATGGATGAAGAAATGATGCCTCTGGAAAAGAAATTCACACAAAAAAATCATGTCAACATATATGTTCATATACATGTACTGTCCCAGTCAAATTAATTAATATAAATACACAGTAGAAGAGTAGAAACAGACGCTCTGAGGAGGAGCAGAAGTACGATGCCTTTACAAACACACACATGAACATGTGATATCAACAGTAAATGTAAATACATGTCCAGTCTTTAACAGGAGGTAGAGTGGGATTTATCTATCAGTCTGATTCCTCTCTGTAGCATTAATATTGAATCCATGGGTTTGTTTTCTCCCTAAAGAACCGATCCTTCATTCAGTCTCACTTTCACTAAGACGTAACATTTAGAATAGACAGAATAATTATCAGAGGTCTAGATACATAAAAATGAACAACATAATTAACAACAACCCCTTAGCATGCTCTGTCTCTAAAACAGCAGGTTTCGTCCTTGCTGCACTGCTAGAATAATATACACATTGAAATTGGGAACAAAGTAGATACGTCCTACAAGAACCGCAAACCCCCATGTACTTGGCTTTCCTGCGTTTCATTTTAGCTTAGCATTAGCAAAATCAGCTTTGAGGAATTGTCAAAACCTAGAATCCACCTACGCGGAGCTAGCTAATGATAAGCTAAGGTAAAAACATGTTCAGAAAGTACAAACAGTAGTGGTTTGTTACATACCAACTAATGATGAGAAAACACACTTACTGGTTTGCTGTGGACGCCATGTTCAGATGAACAGGACAAAGTCGTGTTCTAGCCCTGGCTACATCTATGGAGGATTGGCTGATCGATTGCTTTGGTCTTGATTTACCCGGAAATAAAGCATGAAATTTCAAGCAGCGAAAAAAAATGCAACGAATTTTTGGACACTGATTTTTAAAACATTGAATTTACTTACACTGAATACTTTGTTACAGTTTATAGAATTCAAAAGCAAAAAAAAGTGTTGATAATAAAAACACAAAATAACCTTCATAGGGCTGGGCGGTATAAACGGTAGCGGTATAAGCGGTATGCGATACAAATTTGTCCAATGGTAGAGATTGTTGTTATACCGACATATTGCGATAGGTCATTGTGTCATCAAATTGCACGGGGCTCAATGGAGGTTAACCCAGCGCCGATTGGCTGAAGCTAGCGCAGTCTCTGACGCACAAAAACAACCGGCATTTGCACAGCAGCGCAGCATAAGCCCAGCAGCTAGCAGCACTAGCCTAGCAGCAGTAGCCCAGATCACTTGTTGACAAGCGTCAGATTCGGACTTCCTCGGTCAGTAGCTCATGAAAGCTACTTTGTTAAACAAAAGTAATTGTGCCAAAATGATCACATTTACATTGATTGATCAAATCCAATGCACGGTTTTAATGCAGAGAAAACCATTCCTGCTGGCGCCTAGGGACCGTCAACAAATCTGATTAAATATGCAGACGACACCACCATTATCGGTCTTATCAGTGAGAACGACAAATCTTGGGGGGGGGGGGGTGTGTGGGGGGGGGGGGGGGGGGGGGGGGGGGGGGGGGGGGGGGGGGGGGGGGGGGGGGGGGGGGGGGGGGGGGGGGGGGGGGGGGGGGGGGGGGGGGGGGGGGGGGGGGGGGGGGGGGGGGGGGGGGGGGGGGGGGGGGGGGGGGGGGGGGGGGGGGGGGGGGGGGGGGGGGGGGGGGGGGGGGGGGGGGGGGGGGGGGGGGGGGGGGGGGGGGGGGGGGGGGGGGGGGGGGGGGGGGGGGGGGGGGGGGGGGGGGGGGGGGGGGGGGGGGGGGGGGGGGGGGGGGGGGGGGGGGGGGGGGGGGGGGGGGGGGGGGGGGGGGGGGGGGGGGGGGGGGGTGGGGGGGGGGGGGGGGGGGGGGGGGGGGGGGGGGGGGGGGGGGGGGGGGGGGGGGGGGGGGGGGGGGGGGGGGGGTGGGGGGGGTGGGGGGGGGGGGGGGGGGGGGGGGGGGGGGGGGGGGGGGGGGGGGGGGGGGGGGGGGGGGGGGGGGGGGGGGGGGGGGGGGGGGGGGGGGGGGGGGGGGGGGGGGGGGGGGGGGGGGGGGGGGGGGGGGGGGGGGGGGGGGGGGGGGGGGGGGGGGGGGGGGGGGGGGGGGGGGGGGGGGGGGGGGGGGGGGGGGGGGGGGGGGGGGGGGGGGGGGGGGGGGGGGGGGGGGGGGGGGGGGGGGGGGGGGGGGGGGGGGGGGGGGGGGGGGGGGGGGGGGGGGGGGGGGGGGGGGGGGGGGGGGGGGGGGGGGGGGGGGGGGCTCAGCAGCTGCAGCACAGGGTTAAGACTGAAGTGTGATCCTGTAGAGTCTGACTCTGGGTTCACATGATGCAGCCTCAGCTCTGTCTCCTTCACTTTGTTCCAGATGCTGCGTCTTCACACCTGCTTCTCACAGGTTTTATTGTGTTCATGAAGAGATGAGCTATGAGTAAAGGACTTTCCACACTTTTCACAGACAAATGGTTTCTCTCCAGTGTGGATCCTCTGATGATTTTTGAGAGTACCACTGTGAGAAAAACTCTGATCACAAACATCACAGCTGAAGGGTTTTTCTCCAGTGTGGATTCTGCTGTGTTTATTAAGACCTCCTCTTGTGGAAAAACATGTTCCACACAGGTGACACTTGTACGGCTTCTCTCCAGTGTGGCTCCGATGGTGATCTGTGCGCCCTGATGCAGTTCTAAAAGTTTTACTGCAGAGGTCACATGCAAATGGTTTTTCTCCAGTGTGAATTCTCTCATGACTTTTGTAGTTTGAAAACTTAGTGAACTCCTTCCCACAGTCTCCACAGACGAATGGCTTTTCGCCAGTGTGGATTCTGTAGTGCACAGTGAGGTTTGATAAATGTGTGAAAGTCTTTCCACACTGGTCACATTGGTGAGGTCTCTCTCCTGTGTGGACATGCTGATGCAGTGAGAGCAGCTGTTTGATCCTAAATGTTTTTCCACACTGGTCACACTCAAATGGTTTCTCTCCAGTGTGGATCCTCTGATGAACTTTGAGATTACCCTCTTTTCTAAAACTCTGATGACAAACGTCACAGCTGAAGGGTTTTTCTCCAGTGTGGATTCTGCTGTGGACCTTGAGACCTTCTTTTGTAATAAAACCTGTTCCACACAGATCACACTCGTATGGTTTTTCTCCAGTGTGAGTTCTGTAGTGGGTCTTTAGTGTAGAAGGAAAGCGGCAGGTCTTTCCACACTGATCACAGGTGAACCCCATTCTGTAGATGGACTTTGTAGATCTGCAACAAACACAGAAAAAAGCAGACAGATATTATATTATTAGTCACCAGGACGAAACACAACCAGACAAGTTTTCAACCCAAACTTGAACTGAAGTAAACCTACATCATTAAAGTAGATCAGGAGAGTCAAACTCATTTAGCGAATACAAAGTCCTCAAGTCAGTTGCCTCAATGTCCTGAACCTGTTGATGGAGGACTATTGTCTCTTTGTTAGGTCGGTGCCAGGGACCTGTTGGGAAGGGTCTGGCACCAGGTGTTTGTTGGGGACCTCCTTGGACGCCCACACCCTTTTCCACTCTGATTGGACGGTGAAGTCAGCTGATGGGGGGGTTCTTCCAGATGGGGCGTCTGGATGGGAGCCGAGCAGGGTTGGAGATTTCTTTGTGGATTGGTCGTGGGGGGAGTCTACAACCTTTTGGAGCATCCTTTGAGTCGCTGCTGTTTGCCGGATGTGTGGAGGTGCAGTGTTTGATAGAACAGGGAGCCAGGGGAGAGGTGATGAGTGAATTGTACCAGTTTTAATTCTCATGGTTGTGTTGAGCTGGGAGTCCATGAAAATAATTTCAGATTAACTACACACAACTTAATGAAGACAAACAATAACACTACAAGCACATTTAGACTGCATCTACAGAGCCATACAACAAATTTAAGTCACAACCATATTGGGATTGAACAAAATACAGAAACTCTCAAATACCTTATTTCTCATTTTATATAAGGTTATACAGTATATGGCAGATTTAATTGTCTTTTTTTCTTTAAAAAAAAAAAAAAATCAGTTTTTGATGTGATTAAAATGTTAAAATGACATTTGCCTTTACAATAAGTTTATTTTCAACACTAAAATTCAAGACATTGTGAAATTCAATTTAAAATCCTATGGACAGACTCTCCCACCTCAGCTGTAGTTATCTGCAGTTCATCCAGAGTGATCATGGGCCTCTTCGCTGCATCTCTGATCAGTCTTCTCCTTGTTTGAGATGAAAGTTTGGAGGGACGGCCGGGTCTTGGTAGATTTGCAGTGGTCTGATACTCCTTCCATTTCAATATAATTGCTTGCACAGTGCTTCTTGAGATGTTTAAAGCTTGGGAAATCTTTTTGTATCCAAATCCGGCTTTAAACTTCTCCACAACAGTATCTCAGACCTGCCTGGTGCGTTCCTTTGTCTTCATGGTTCTCTCTGCGCTTTAAACAGAACCCTGAGACTATCAAAGACCAGGTGCATTTATACAGAGACTTGATTACACACAGGTGCATTCTATTTATCATCATCATCAGTCATTTAGGACAACATTGGATCATTCAAAGATCCTCACTGAACTTCTGGACTGAGTTTGCTGCACTGAAAGTAAAGGGGCCGAATAATATTGCACGCCCCACTTTTCAGTTTTTTATTTGTTAAAAAAGTTTAAATTATCCAATAAATTTCGTTCCACTTCACAATTGTGTCCCACGTGTTGATTCATGACAAAAAATGAAAATTTTATATCTTTATGTTTGAAGCCTGAAATGTGGCGAAATGTTGAAAGGTTCAAGGGGGCCGAATACTATCGCAAGGCACTGTACATACACATACACGTAACGGAGAGACAGCAACGAGATTATTCAACTTCAGTGAAGAGAGAAGTCCATTTGCGCATGTGCAAACTGACAGAGCACACAACTCGTCAGAACACTGGATGTGTCATGTGAATTTGGTTATTTTTTAGCAGCTAATTTAGACCGTTTAATCTCAGCTCTTGAAACTATATGCATCAAATCTGTTTTATTTTGAAATTAAAAAATATGAAATTGATAATGAGGTCCATTAAAAATTCAAAATCAGATGTAACAAATCTGCTCTTTTTTCTTAAAATTTGACAGTGCTTTGAATTTGTGGCTCAAAAATAGACATATTGGATATTTAAAAGCAATAATGTAATTTTGAAATTTTTTTTACAATGAAATTTGTAAAGCAAATATTTTTGTCTTTGCATTTCAGTCACTAAAAATTCAAACAGCTTTTTCAGAGTTAAAATCTTCCAAAAAAAGTAATATAATGTTGAATACTTTAAGGTACATTACCATAACTTTACATACTAAAGTTTGTACATTACTATGACTTTATAGTAGTGTACCTTTACGTATTCAAAATTATATTACTTTTTTATTCAAAAAAGTGTAGCTATATCAGTAAAAAGCTATTATTTATACTTTAATCAGAATACATGCTAGAATAGAATAGAATTAGATGAGGACAACATGTGTTCTGGTTTGTTCAATGCATTTTGCTTCTTCAAGACTTTCTGTTTGGACAAACATTTATATTTTGCACTTTGGGAACTACTAGGCAAAACATCACGGAGGTTTTGATATAAAAGGTTGTGGCTTAGAGACTTCAGACAGTGGTCTCTGCTCCTTATGGACCAACGGGTCCTAAGAGTTTGTTATTATAGCACTTGATGAGTTCAAACAGTTTGATTCTCTGATCTGCTGATGAATCCACAACTTTGTAAAGTCCTCGGACACTTTCACCTTTTTGTGGAACTCTTCCTTACTGCCGCTGTTAACGTTAGCGCTGCTGCTAACGTTTGGTGGGTACTTTCTACACATGTGTATCTTCCTCCGTGGTAAGTTTTGTCTGTTTATATTAAGATTTCATAGAGTAATCCGCGTTTGAAGGCTGTTAGCTTTGGTTTGAAAATAGTTCTGGAAAATCTTCAGAACGGCCTCAGTCCGCATCACGTCATGTTAGCTTCAACTACACTGGCCATTCGGATTTAAGATACTGTCTGACGCTTTCTAGAGGCAAAGTTAAATTTGATGTGAAATGATGGATCTAAATTGATCATTTTCAATATTAATAGAACGTCAATTTATTGTATGTTGTATGAGCGAAAAGGCATTGCCCCATTTTCTGTAACAATTATTCTTGAGCACGACATGGACAGAAAGGTTGGTAGCGCACAGGCTCCAGCTCGTGATGTAAGAAAACATAACATTGACACATGTCTCTTGTATTACTTTGAGTGTAAGTTTTAGTGAAGCAATATTACCAATTTTGTATTTGTTATGTGGATAAAAAACTCTGCTACTATAATACTTTCACCTCTGTTGAATTAACAATAATAGGACATGAAGATTAAACTGTCTTTTGTTATTTTTAAGGAAGAAAGAAACGAGGTGGACATCAATCACAATTAATGTTTGAGAAAAGGGTAAATACTTTGAAATGACTGCATACAAAGCACATGCAAGACGGGCACCACCGTCCATGGGACCATAGGTCAGGTATGTTTGATTAGACATATAACTGTACAAGATATTCTTCAAATAAAGGCTCTGCTTGAGTTCATTCAAAAGTGTATGAGCCTCTCAATGGTGTTCCGTGCATTAAAAAACAAGATCCTACACTGCCTTACTTGCATTGTCGACTGCATTTACAAATTATACATGTTTAAAGCCATTCAAGTAGGACAGCATGCCGGCTCCTTTCTTGTTTTTGGAAATACAATAATAGGCTGGTAGGCAATGAGTGTCTATCTCAGAACAGGTACTCCCATATTGCCAGCAGTTTCTGATGGGTTTATAGATTTTTCAAGACTCAGAATATTGTGTACTATGACTGGAATCCAAAACCAGATTCTGAAAGAATGGACTGTACTTCAGCAGCAAAAAGAATTTTGTTTCTAGCTTGTCGTTGGGGAACGAACCCCAGTAATCCCCAGTCGAGTCGAGTAGAGGGAAGTTTTACTGAAATCACCAAAAAGCTGAGAAAAACGAGGCACAATAAGTGCATCTAACTGTTTTCAAACAATCCAGAGCGCTGCTGCCACCTGCTGGCTCGATTAAAAAATGCTCTCAAGCGAATCCCCATACATGTTAGATATAATGGACATCTGGGAACATGAAAATAGAAAAACGCAATTGCCGTATTAGTGCGTCAATGGCACACAACGAGTTAACCAACAGCTGTCAGGTGAAATTCTGCCACTGTGTGATCAATAAAGTGCTAACTTCTCTATCTCCTCCTTCAGGACTGGAGTCTCAGACATGGCCTTAGTAAGA